TCACAATAAGTGCGCGACTCAGAAAAATAAAGTATACCTCCTCGTATAAAAATACAAAACACTCCAAGATCCTATAACGATCATGCATTTATAAAGGTGTAACGATACAACTGTCCAATCATAACAATCAAAATGCATGTCTCAGGACCAATCACGCGTCGTACCGTGGCCGGGTGGCAGTTGTACTTGGCTGCGAGTGTTTGACTGAGACCATTGGGAAGCCTGACCAAGTAGCTGCTGTTGCTGTGCAGCAGCACTTCACGGAGTATGGCCTCGCGCTCGCTATTCGTCACGTTGCGCTATTTGACGGTCATTCCTGAATGTTTGTCATTATGAGTGTTTGTTTTATATAAAGTATTTTATTGATGTATTGAAATCATCACAGCGACTTCATTTTGTTGAATTTCCCGCTCGAAATTGGATCAAATCGGGGGTTTTGACATTGGCTTTCGAATGGTCCAATCAGAGCGACTAATTTTGAACCCAAGACAGCGATTTCGATTGTCAAAAATGTCTTGAGAATATAATGCGAAGCCATGTCAACCCTCCTCTAGGTCGCGCACTTATAGTAGTGACACGGAGGGAGTACACATTTTCGCCCCTAGCCCTGTAACGTGGGCCTAAGCTCCCACATGTATATATCTATATAAGTACAAATTTACTTACAGTACGATGCGAAATCCCCTCATCATTCCCACCACTGAGAGTACAATTCCCTCCTTAACTGTAAAACAGTTCCACAGTTGTTTCTCGGAAAACACTTGCAATTTGAGTGTATATATGGAACTTTCTATGCTCGGACCACCTCACCTCTTACTAGAGGTTATGTGCGTATCAGTAGTTAGCAATAGCTAACCACTAGCGATACAGTTAACCCCGGGGATTTACACTGTTAGCATCGGAGTACTCACTGGGGATACAGGACGAAAAGGTGTTTCCGGATGGGATAATTCCCTCATTGGTAGTGACATACTGTACTAGTAGGATTTTGGGCCAAAATTACAACAGTGGAACTGTTTTAATGAGGGAATTAGTCCCACTGAGATACACCTAGTAAGAGGTGACGTGGTCGGAGCATATAAAGTTCCTTATACACACTCAAATTGTTTTTTCTGAGAAAAGGAACAATGGAACTGTATCAATGAATTATCATAATCTGCGTAACTAAAACGTCCCTGACGACTAAGTGAGTGTCACAAATTGCTTGCCACGATGAATACGTTTGTCCATATTCGGATAAAAGCAGATCTCGTACAGTATTACGCATGAGGGAAACTTAACAGTAAGTTTACGTAGTACTCCACTATGTAGGACTGGAGTACAATGTTAGTACAAAGTCTATCGAACCAACTGTACAACTCGAACGTTGCATGACGTAAATATGAATAACATTGTGTAATGTACTGTAGCTCGCACAACCGGACAAGCGCTCGCAAGTACTACATGTAGTACAGTAGTACCAAGGTATGTACTGTCCCTTCGTTGGGCGACCTACGTTACATAACGTTATTCTAATAGTAGTACTACTTCAAGTACGTACTAGTAGTACTTTGGAGTATGTAACGTTCGAGTTGTGTAATTGATGTGCAGGGGGTCAATACACGTTGTACAATGTCGACAGAGTGTGTTGTTGATTTGCTGTGGCCATCTTACCGTTATATGGCTTGTACTCATCGAGGCAAGCCATTTGCACCACTCACTGAGCCAGGGACTTATAAGTTACCACCAGATTCCCTGAGAAGTGGGCATTCCACCAATTGGTCTGTGAGACGCGGGTTGTGAGGTCGGGAGCAGGTGAAAAGTGTGCGACGAACACAAACGCACATCCGTCGCGACATGTCACCGTAACGTTAGGGCCTTGGTTGAATGGTCGAGTACATAGTCCTCTCTGGTTAACTTTATCACTTTTCCATTTCCCCATCTTGTCCAACATGGTTTCTGCTTTCGCAACGACGCTGGTGGCCGCGACTATGGCACTTGCTGCCGCCACCCCTGGCAAGTGGAACTGCACGGACAGCTACGATGGCTTCATCCCCGTGCGAATCGACGACAATGGCGACGTGCAGTGCTGGTCCGACAACCGCCGAAACTGCTTGATCCACTCGGACGAGGACAGTTGCTTCAAGCTGATTAACAACCCTAAATCAACACCGCCCAAGAAGCCGCTGTCTTGCGGGTGCCAGCACGCCGAAGAGTTCTGGAGCGACGGATACACCGAGTGGGGGGACAACTACTGGTGCCCTCGGGGGAAGAAGGTGCTTAACGCGACTCCGCCCCTCGACCGCGACTGCAATGCCAAACCGATCTGGAAGTGCCAAGACTAGAGCATCTCCACCGGTTAGGACTTATAACGTGACCTTATACCGATAATGCTCAGATAATTGACAGACTTTTGCAATAAGTTTCATTTTCCCTACCTGTTAGACTTGGATCATCTCCACCCCCCGGCAACATACATATTTCACGAACACACGGTGTATGTCGGTACCTACAACCGTATTATTTCTACTACACCATTTTGCAGTTAAGTTGGACGAATGCCCGATATAATTGGTGGTGTGCCAATATCATTAGCCATGTGCCCATTTAATTTGGCACACCGAGGTCGTGTGGCCGAAATATTTGGCGGTATGCCGATATAATTAGCCGTGTGCCCGAGTAATTGGCCATCTGCCCGATGAATTGCGTTGTGTGCCCGATGTAAATGGAATACTACGTAGTAACTCAAATAATTATATGTAACGTTACCCCCACGAACTCCGGTTATGATGTAAATTGAAGTACTAGATAATCCCCTCTGTAGTCACGAGGCCCCTACAAACGCGTACCTCGCTCCACAAAGCAACGAGTCGTCTCAGCGTTCAGAAACGACGACGATATGTAATTAAATAAGCTTCGTCATAAATTTCTAAAATTCGTGTGGTTTGTCTAATCAATATTGAATCACGCTGGCGTTCGGATTGGTTGAATATACTTGTCCTTTCTGTAAGAGCCAATCAAATCCACTCAAGAATGGATTAGCCAATCGCATCGATTCGTGATTCGATTCTGGAAATTTGTACCGAATCCACAAAAAAACAACATAACGTTACGGGTACTTGTACTACTCCGTAGTACAGTACTACGTAATATTAATAGTACTTGGAATTATTAAAAGTACTTGGAATTATTAATAGTTCTTGGAATTATTAATATGAAGTACCAGTAGTATTAATACATACTACTAGTAGTACTCAAGAGTAGTACTACGTAATATTAATAGTACTTGGGATTATTAATAGCACTACGTAATATTAATAGTACTCGGAATTATTGATATGAAGTACCAGTAGTATTATTAATAACACATACTAGTACTTGGAAGTATTGTTCAAGGACTTTGTGGGTAGCTAGACCCATGTTTGTTTATCGTCCCGATTAACTGTCCAGACTAAGTAAGAAATAAGTTATATAATATATAGGTATAGGTCGACCTTTGACCAAAAGATAACGTTATAAAAATAAGTTTATTGGCCGCCACCATGGATTAATAATATGGGGAAAATAGTTTAGTTGGATGACACGTCAGGTTTGTAATTCTTTCGCTTCTTCTTCTTGTTGCGCTTCTTGAGATGGTCGGAATGGGCGGATGCTGCTTCGGGTTTGTGATGCAGCGGCGTCACGAGGTTCTTGGGGGCGGCGGTAGTGGCCTCATTTGGATCCTCATCTTCACCGTCGTCGTCACTGCTAGGTTCATGTGCTTGTTTCGCGGAGGTCTAATGGAGAAACGTGAGCATCATCCACGAAGTCAAGCAGCACACGATAGAACAAGAAAGATGGAGGTGTAAGATGTTGCACAGTTATGACTCGTATGAATTCGATAGGGAAGACTTGTAAGCCTTTTGTTCACTCAGAGAGAGAGAGAACCGAAACCAGCCTTAAGGACCATGCGCGGCACCTGCACAGAAAACCTGTGACGGCGGTACCATTTTCCTATCCCAGATGGTCTGGATTCCAATCGAACGGGTAGCCGCCATGGAGGTAGCGTCGAAGGGAATAATTGACAAATGGGGAAGCATGAATGAAACAATCTGCATCACGTGCAACATACCGAAGCAAGTGGTTTGACGGCGGCAGCATCTGCGCGGGGACGTTTCTTGGAAGGGAGAGCCGCAGTTGACGGTGACTTGATGGGGGCAGCAACTTGTTCGTCGTCGCTCCCTTCGAGTTCATCGGCGTTGTGCTTGGAAATGCGAGAGGCCGCTTGTTGGATCAACGCGGACAAGTCGTCGACCGACAGGCGGGAAATGTCGTCTTCGTCGGTGGAGTCTTCAGGAGGACCCGGTTGAAAGTACCCCGACAAGTCCACTACCCCGTGTCCCTGCAAGGAGAACTTGGCCTTGTGCGCACCCAACACCAAGTCGAGCTTGATTTGATCGCACGTCCCGGAGCGGAGGGTGCCAACCACCACCTTGACGAGGGATTGATCGAGGGACGTGGTTTCCACCGACAAGACGACGGCTTCGGGGCCACTGGCTAGCGACGCATGCACTACGTTGAGCACGAAGCCTTCGGGGACCGTCACCGTCAGTGGCTTGGCCTCGGTCACGTGCGCGCCGAAGAAGTGGACCATGGCGGGAACGTCGATTTGAGAAATGATTTCAAATCCGATGAAAATGGAAATGTCAACCACCACAGGATTGAGTGGAAGCCAGTGAACGGATATATCCGGATAAATACACGCCAATACAAACTTGATTTAGAGCATTCCTGCTACTTTACAACAGACACGAGATTCTGAAGGGCGTTGCTTACCACATGCATGTATGCCGCTCACTTATGGGTATCCCGAGGGAAGTACATGTAGCAAACACCACTGTATGCATGTGCACAGAGAATTGCTTCATGAATCTAGTGGAACGTTCATGCGATGCATGATGTTGACTGAGTCGTCATGTGTCCATTTATACTGCTCCAGTGTTGAAGTTACGGAGAAATATTTCTGTTTATTTGAGTGTATCATCCGGATAATGTGGGGTGGACATTTCTAGCAGAGCAGTTGACGCCATCAAAATCGCCACCTCCGCCGCCCCACGTCCTGCAGCATGTCGTCTTCGTCGGGGCTGATCAAGAAGAACTACTTGGCGGACCAGAAGGCGTTCATGGCGCACTTCCATGCGCAGGCGCTGATCATGTCCGCATTCAAGTCGACGCTGTTGCAAGGGGCGTTGGTGTTCAACAGCTACGTCGAGTCCCTCGACTTGGACGACGATGACGGCAACTCGGACGACGACGAGCTGCTGGCCAAGCCTGCCACGGACGACAAGCCCGTGTTCATTCCGCCCACGCCGTACGAGTTCGCCATCAAAGTGGAACACACGTTTGTGCGCATGGTGAGCAACACGACGGTCGTGCGGTCGCTGGAAGTGCTGTCGTTGCACTTTTTGGACGTCCGCACCGCCGGCAAACTCATGAAGGACACCACCAAGGTAGTATACATCCTCTCTCATCTCCCATCCTCGCTTCCCGATGTTGACACGTGCATGACCGTAGTCGGCCGTCCGCAAGTACGCGCGCTGGAACAGCACGTCCGTCGCGGCCATTCGCATCTCCAAGACGGCATTCCGTGCGTCCATCTTGTCGAACGCCGCAGTGTTCCTCGTAGAAGAGCTCGTCGATGCCTTCAAGACCCTGTTCAACTTGGGGTCCAATAAGCCCGACGGCGGCGCCTTCCTCACTCGACTTCTGCTCGCCGCGCGCAAGTTCCTTCAAGCGGTGGTCGGGACGACTGTGGGAGGAGCATTAGGGACGCTCGTGGCCCCCGGCAAAGGCACATTCATCGGCGCCTTCGTTGGAGAGTCCATTGGGTATTCGTTGTAATATCATTACACGTAGCCAAAACCTATAATATTTCATGGACGATTTTATACTCTTCGTTTATATATACTCCGAGTACTCCGAGTATAGTATTATCAAAGCTGTACCGGTACATTGCACTAAGCTTAGTAGTACTATTAATACATAGTATTTGCTAGGGTAAGATACGGTAACTATATATATTATCAAAGCTGTACCGGTACATTGCACTAGTAGGACTACTAAATAGTATTTGCTAGGGTAAGATACGGTAACTATTAATATATTATCAAAGCTGTAATGGTACATTGCACTATTAATAGTAGGACTACTACATAGTACTAGTATTTGCTACAGTAAGATACAGTAACTACTTCGAAGTAACTAAGAAGGATAGGCTAGTATTTATTGACTTTGTTATCGCCTCTTGTACCGTCAGCAGTGCGCATGCCCATTATGGTGGAAAACGAATATATTAGTATACAGTATGTGAAATATTGACATTCGATAGAAGATGCTGTGGAATACTGTACAGTACTAGTAGACGATAGTTCTTGCCATCTACTTTTCTCAACTACTAGTATACTATTATTAATAATAGTGTAGATTTCTGTTTGTATTTTTCGATCTCATTACTATTTATAGATTCTATTTTAATTGCTTAATTTTGAATTATTCATTTTGTACCGTTAACGTTGAGCTGGTTTAGGGTGCATCTGGTAACAATTCAAAAATAATATTCCATTTTCTGGCAAATTGGGATAAACGAAAAATGCCAAAATCGAGGTAAAAAGTCCATTTTGTATTAACGTTACTATGGTATGGCGTTTTGGACCTCCTCAAGGAGTAAATCCCACTCGGAATTACAGTATTAGGGGTATTGGAATTGCGTTATATCTCTTCAAGCACGACATGTTTCAATCCTTATGAGATTGATGGAACTTAAAATGGCGTAATATTTCAGGTTCCCAGACGGGCCCTTATACTACGTGTATACAGTATGTATGTTGATATTGATATTGATATTACGCTGTTAAGTTTAGGCTAATTTAAAAATATACTAACTTATTGTCGATTTTCTTCAAATTTCCCAATTTTGCATGGTTTGTTCAAATAGAGCCGTGACATATGATTGACCATTATCCACTTCGCCCTTTCCAGTAAACTCGAAAATGGATTGTAGCCAATCAGCGACAAGTAATTTTGGATTGACCAATGGGTGAGATTCGTGCTCGATTCGCTCGACGAGATTCGATTGAACGGGGGTTTGGAAATTCATACCGAATCTCCAATACGTCAATGATTCTACTCCAGAGTAGTATTAACTGTAAATATTAACTGTAAATAGTACTAACGTTACTAGTATTACTGTGCAAATTTGGTTGCAAGCCCGGGCGAGTTTCTCCCCGGTTCACTGTATTGCATTTGGAGAAATATTTCCAATTGGCTACACAATATTAACGTCACGTGTTGGGGTTCAACCTGTTTAACCTATGATATTGTTCGAAATGAACGTTTCCTTCGAATTTTTATAAATATATATATTTCCGTATACAAACGTTAAGTTAAGGTTCAATAAAAACAATGTCGAAACAAAACTGATGTCAGGAATTTGGCGGTTACACATTTAGTGCCCCACCCGACAGAAGCATCACATATCGAACGACGTCCTTAGCATGAAGCTCCTTCTCCCGACCCTAGCGGCAATGCTTGTACATCAAGCGTCTGCCACGTGCTTGAGCACATGCAACCAGCACACGTTGAACGCCGAAGAGGACTTATGCACGCCATATCGCGACCAGTTGCCGCGCCCGACGCTGTACAACTTCTGCGTCGACGCATTTCGCAAAGGTATCGCTCATGCTTCTCATATCTACGGAATTCCTCACATGTGTGCATGTTTGGCTGGCCGTGTAGGTGGTCAGAGGGCCTGCGAAGAGTACTGTACTAACACTGGCGGGGCCGACGCGGTGTTGGGGTCGTTGCAAGCGCAGTCGTGCGACCATCTGCGCACCACACGTCCCAAGGCGGCGTTGACAATCTGCAACAAGGCCTTTCGCACAGCGACCACCCGTGCCAAGGCGTTTGTTGAAAGCGGATCGATCGTGGAGCCCCCCAAGCAAGTCGCTGCCGCCGCCGCCGCCCCCGCCCCGGCGGCCCCCGTCGAGCTCAAGCCCAAGCAAGACGCCAAGCCAGACATCAAAATCGAACCAAAGAAGAAGTCCCCGCTGGAAGCCGCGCGGGACGAAGCCAAGCTCGCGTTCGACACGGATGCCTCCCGTCTCGGCGAGTTGTAATACATGTAGTACTTCTTACTGCACAGACTAATAATATATACTAACTAGTATATCTGTAAAACCGAAAAAATATATAATATATCATAGTACTACTACAGTACTAATATAAAGATAAACGTAAGAAATAATAAATACTACGTAGGCTTGATTAGTATTAATTCGAGAGCTTTTATTGTTCCCATCATGTTTGATTTTGGCATCCTTTTAAGCGTGTTGGAAGCCAGCCTTCCCTACCCTACCCTACCACTACTACTCGCAAATCGAACCTACTAGTAACACGATGTAGTACTAGTACACTAGTAGGTATTAGTACTACTACTAGTAGTACTTATTACCGGTTTGAAACCTGGTTAGCTCAGCGCTACGTTGGGGCAACCAGGGACGTGGCCAAGGACTCGTGAGTACTTCGCCAAGAAAGGGTGGTCACTGTCGGCGGCGTCTGCTTCGGCCACGTGGAGCCCTGGTACTGGCTCTGCATTCTGAGGCAGATGACCACTCAAAGCATATTCGACCAAGCCATCGATCATGGCTTCGCATTGGGCCCTGGCCATCTCCTATCCATCGTCCATAATATCGTTATAAACCATATAAACCCCAGGTATTACACTCGTTGTCGATTCATATATCTCACCATACATATATATATATATATATACTACCAGTCCTCGTTGAATATTTCAAGAAATAAACGAGATCAACAGCTGTATTACTGGACAACATTTCAGTAATTTATATATATATATATATATATATATATATACTATTACATATTTAAAAAATATGAATAGGATGATAGATACGTCGAAAACGCATCGGTTGTTCCAAGGCTGAATATATAATAATAATAATAATAATCAATGATATATAGAATAATAGTCAGTGATATATCGAATAATAGTCAGTGGTTTGATTAAAAGCAGTCATAAAGTATACAGTTTCCAAATGTTTGTGCATTATTTATTTCATCCCGAGAGTTCGTACTCTAAGCACCAAATCGGCAGACAATCGATGATATATCGACCAATCAAAACCCACAACACGAATCAAGTAGCCAATCCAACACTCTTCTTCCACCAAATCCAACATCGAATTAGTGTGTGTGTGACTTTAATTAGTGTGATAATGGGCCATCTTTACAAAAGTCAATACAAAGAATATATATATATATATCGAGTTGGCGAATGATCAGCACAAAAGAGTCGGCCTTTGTATTTGGGGTTTACACGGGGATTCATACATATACTACTAAAGTAATATATCCCTTGACACAATCATACATACTGACCGTGCCATGCTCCATCTGCGACACCGTCGACGAGTCCACGCACGACGAGTCGCCATACACAACAATTCGACCTCCGCCTTGAATCTGTACCATAGCTGCAATCGCCATCTCTTTCATATCCTGTTTGAACAACCCCGTATCAACTCCCCTATCTTTCTTTGTGTCTTGCGTGAGGTTGGCATACAGCACAAAACTCGGGTCTGGCAAGTCGATGAGTGCCGACCCTGACATGTACAATAGCTCGACATTCGACCACACGTGGGAACTCAGGCCAACGCCAAAGCCCGCGAGGAGGGTGTTGATGGCGGGTACGTTGGCGCCGCCCGTGACTGGCTGCCACGTACTCAGCGTCGTGGCATCCCAAAACGACATGTGGTGGCGTACGAGGCCAGGATTGAACCAATCAGCGATCACGACCACACTCAGGCCATCATGGCGGCGCACGGCCGCATCCACGAGCGCCACTTCAGATGCAAACCAGCTGTCTTCGGGGTCGGTTATGACCAATACTCCGTACAATGACCAGTCACCCACGCACGTGTAATCAGTCGTAAGCACTTCAACAAATAAGCGGTGGTGGCTGAGGAGGCGGTGAAAAAAATCACAAAAATTCGTGTGCGGGTGGTCGCCTTGCGAGTCGAACGGGTCTACTTGTTGGTGTAAATTGTCATGTGGAATGTACCCTGATGGGTACTGGACGTTGCGGAATTGGTCCCACAATACCTAGAAAATAGATATATATGAAAGAAATAGAAACAATAGGGGTCTTTTGTGGCCACATCGATTTATATATATATATATAGTAGTCTAAAGAATATAAGGTTGGGTATGATGATATGGACATGACAACTACAATGTGATGAACCAAGGGGAGGGGGGGAGGTAACGATTCAAAAGACACAGAAGATAGTTGGGTAGGTGCCAGCTCCAGTCCAGGATTGTAGGTATGGATATATATATATATATATATATATGAATAAAATATTAATAAGAACGAATAGATATACGACTATGTTGTAATCGTACCTGTTGGTGTTGAGCAAATAAATATATATACATGGACAAACAATAATCAAACAGAATGAATACAAAAAAATAGATAAACAACTATATTGGAATCGTACCCATTGGCGTTGCGCATACAACCATATATATGTATATATATAGATAAAACAATAATAATAAAGAATAATACACAAAAATAGGTTGGAATCGTACCCGTTGGCGTTGAGGAGGGGCTGGAATCAACGGAATTTCCACATACAATTGGACAGGTGGGGCGTCCGAGATGAAAAACGTCAAGTGACCCGACACAGTCATCGGATGAGGCACCGATCGGGTCACTCGAATGTGCACCCCTATGGCTCCGGAATAGGGCCTACACCATATATATTTATATATTCTTCAAAATCCACAAATATATATATTCTTCAAAATCCACAAATATATATATTCTTCAAAATTCACAAATATATATATATATTCTTCAAAATTCTACATGTATCATGAATATGGTTATTTCACACTTTGAACCAATACATATGTATATATATATATATATGGATTTTGAAGAATACAAAAAATAATATATTTTCCCATCCAATGTCGTACCAAAACAAGTCCGACCCCGTGGATGTTTGAATGGCCAAATAATCGTCTTCAGCATTGGATGGGGTCCATTTGGGTGTTCCCACCAGGTGACTTGTCACAGCCGTTGGGTGAAACATCTAACACAAATATATATTTATGATATGAATAATATATATATATATATATCGACTCCACTGTTCCCTGTTGACATTGACTATTTGAACATACATTTCCGATCCAACGACTACTATAGTACTAACATGGATGTGATAATTTCACACTCTGAACCTTTAAAAAGCAACCAGTACTAAATTTAGTATATATGTAGCTGTTCGTTCTTACTGTGATGTTAATTACGAGGGGAAGTCTGGTGTGGTACAGTGGTTGCAAGCAATGGGGCCACATGTACGGGCAGTCTGTCAAGTTTAGCGACGACGGAAACAGCACCACGGTCGGGTTTGCCTACTCAAAATATATTATATATCGACGCCATAATATACCCACAGAATTCTCGTAAGAGTAGTATATTCCTACTAGTTTACAATAGAACGTAAAACAACACATATTGCCAAATTGGTTCGTAACTCCAGTCGCCAGTGGACAATCGAACAGATCTGGCAAATCGAGTTGAGAATGAACTAGCCAATCAAATCACGTGCCATAGATTCCTGTTCATCACAGACTCGCTTTGTCCCTTGGCATTGAAAACAACGATACATATACTACATGCTGGATAATATAGTATATATATATATACATACTATATATATAGTATATATAGTGTTTCGACTGTATGCTTGTATATATATATGTATACAAGCATACAGTCGAAACACCACGAATCGAAAAAGTGCGCAATTGATTCGTCCATATTGTTGTGCTTGTTCTAAACTGGAGCGATATGGAGATTAATGACTCGACACAACCAAATGTACAGAAGGATATTTTTAGCCAATCAGATTGCAGGAGAACATTACCAACGTCGAATTAGTGTGTGACTTTAATTAGTGTGATTCCAATCATCACACGACAACTTTTTCAATACAGCATTCAGTACTAAGAATCGCAAGATTTGGCGAAACACCAAAAAGTCCAAATATTGGGTAAAAGTGCACGATATATATATATGGATGTGAAAACTCACGGCAATATCACCGTAGTTGTGTAAACTATCCGACAACAAGGATATGTCCCATACAGAAAAATACTATATATATATATACCATTGCAGACGGCAACGCAGCCAGCGCCTGATTGATGTCAAGTCGGCCCGCGCCTTGTTCGTAGATATGTTGCCACGTGTTCTCATCATCGGTCGATCGCATGGTGGCATTCCATCTAGAAAAAAAAACGACGTTGGGAATGGGGAAAAATCCCACAAAACAACAAAACCCAAGCACCGTACAAGGACGGGAGCCGGGTCGCAGTTTGAAGGAATAATCCCTTGAGAAACCCCACGTGCCCAAAGGTCGAGCGTTGGGATGGCGTGAGTCGGGACAGCACCAGCGCCGACATCCCCGACGCCAGCGGCGCGGCCATGCTCGTTCCATTCATCAAGCGACACGTGTTCTCCCCCGACAGGCCCCGCACAAACATGGATGGGGCGACGGCATCCGGTTTCACACGGCCGTATCCGGAATTGATTTCCCACAACGTTTGGCCACGCGCGGAAAACCGAGCGATCTACATGCGAATGTACTTGTATATCAACGATAGGACGAATATATGCGATTTGTACACACGATATTGTGATTTTCACCCAAAAATTTGCCAATTTTGAGGAATTCTTGAAATCGCCCACACATCGACGAAACATTATGATTGGCGAAAATGAATCAAGGTTGCATTATGATTGGCTAAAAATAGTTCTATTGCTATCACACAGATACCTCCAAATTTTTATATAATATTTCAAAGGTCCAGCGATTGTTGATTCAACCAACCACTCGGGGTTGAAGTCTAGAGGAAATACTACAAGGAAGTGTTGTATGTACCACACGTACAATCCAATAATAATAATCCATTTTATATGAATTATAATCAAATGATATGAGCCAGTCGCCCCACAATCAATAGAAGTCTTAACCGAATCAACCAACGACCTCGACGACAACTGTGTACAAATTAACAAAAGACCCAATATCTAGGACCATACATATATATATATATATGGTCCTAGGTATATATATATATATATATTGGACCAAACAAGACATGTCATCCCAACAACACAACACACACCTCGGAATCCGGTGAAGTCGCTATTGTGAATATCGAAAGTCGTTTCCGAATCAAACTGTAAAAATAATCAATTACGCTGGACGTTCTGATTGGTTGAAAATCGACTTGTCGTGCCAATCCGATTCACTCAAAGTTAGATTAGCCAATCACATCGCGTCGTCGAGTCGGGATCTGGAAAGTTGTATCGGATTCAAACGTGGAGGTTTCAGCAGAATATCATCCAAAGTCTCACTCTCAAGTCCAAATATACATGGGTGAATTGTACCATACGAATCACACATTCAAACGAGTCGTACACTGTACGTACAGTAGACGGCGACAGGCCGAGCCCACCGACCCCCAGCACGTCGATCTGGTCGGCGGGGTTGGTCACACTGCCATATTGAGGGCCGTGGTTGCCCACGGCAGACACAATCACGACGCCGTTGGCCGCGCACTCGTGGATCTTGTCTACGAACGGCGCGTCTGCAAAGTCGGGGCCGCCAAAGCTGAAGTTTAGCACGTCCACGTCCAGAAACAGCGCAAAGTTTAGTGCGTCCAGCAGCCACGACGTGTAGGACGCGCTGGTGGATGTGAACACGCGGAACGACACGAGGCGGACGTCCGGCGCGATGCCCGGGCACGCGGGATGGACGCTCGCGATGATTCCGGCCACGAAGCTGCCGTGGCCGTCGCTGTCCCGAAGGAGGGGTTCGTCTGTCCAGTTGACGATGTCCTCTACATGTCGAAAGTGCCGCCGCGCATGATCGGGGTCGACTCCAGTGTCGAAAATGGCTACTTTGATGCCATGGCCTAGAAAGAAGAAGAAGGGGGGGGTTGGGGGGGTACTGTATGTAGATGGAAGAGGGGGGGGGAGAGATAGAGAGATGAGGGGGCACAGGACAACACCTTTTTACATACAAAATTTCAGTACAAAGAAGAAAATCGATCGATAGAATTGGCGAAACAGCACTCAAGTCCAAAGTTTGGGTAAAAGGACGATATATATATATATATATATATATATACTAAAGATGATTGTATCGTATAGTTTGGACAAGCTTCAATAGAGTGAAATGTACTAGTATTATTGGGTAATTAAAATTGAATGAAAAGTCCAAATTTGGTTGAAGATATATCACAATATCACAATATTTGAAAGAAATATGTATAGGAAATCAAAACGATGTATCCAAACCTCTTGGACACGATAGACGATAAGTGTGTGTAGACAATCGATCGACCAATCAAAACCCAGCACACGATTTCAACTAGCCAATCAAATCCACCCAATTCAACCTCGAATTAGTGTGTGACACACCAAAGTAGTGTGACACTGGACCATCGGTACATACAAAAGACAAAGAATCGATCGATGGATTATTTGGCGATTCAGCACAAAAGTCGACATATTTTGGGTAAAAGATAGACAACATGTTGAATCCAAACGTGCCGAATCTATGTGCATCAACCAAATGGGCACAAGAATCGACGAAAGAAGAATTGAGCCAATCAGGTTGCAAAAAACCATCGGTTTTCAACCAATCAACAACCAAGTAGCACGCAAAAATTCAATTAGTGTGATGGGGATCCCATTGGCCTTTTTTTACATACAAAACTCAGTACAACACGTCGATCGATGATGGAAACGTGAGAACGAGGCGCGGAGAAAGGACATGTATGCATGATGGAGGGGATGTGAACATGCAAAGGAGGAGGATGTGGGGATAAACGTACCTGTGATGTTTTGCGCACGTAATCGAGATATGTCCCAGTCGTCCATGTAGTTCCATGAAGCGGACGACGAGGTGAACGTGTCTACGGTGACGGAGAACATCAGAAAGGGCATGCGAATGAGATGCTGGAGATGTGTACCTTGTCGGGCAGCGGTGGGGTCTGTAGTGGTCAAGGAAGTGAGCTGGAGTCGACGATTCCGCACGATGGACTTGATGCCGGGTTGGATGCGAAGCCAGCGGATCACCGACAATGACATATCGTGGAGATGCCACACGACAAAGTCCGTGGGAATGTTGTGTCGCTGGATCTGGCGATGCAGAGATGACGACGACGCACTCACGGGAGATTCATACGTTGCCAGGACGTTATCGAGACGCGACGCAAGTGCGGGCAACGTGTCGTACGTCGTGAAGGAGACAATGTACTCTTCATGCACTTGCAGAGGAAGGTGGCAAGGACACACGTCCATTGCTACCGATGCTACCGTTGAATGCAGGACGCCTAGAAGCGCAATCCATCGCAGCACTTCCCTTGCATGTCCTGCCAAGGTTGTTGCAGCGGGCATGTGTCACTTGAAAAGTGCAGCCCATATATATCATCCGGATATCCTTGAAGCTGGTATCCGTACTGTTTCGTACTTTTTTTCAATAAATTCCGATATTATTATTAATGGAATCCCAAATGAAGCCACTTTATCATGTATTTTAATGTGTGGGGTTATATTATTATAATTCCAAGTTATTACTATTTTGTTGGACAGTGTATTTTTAAACTATCACTGAAGCTATGAACGCGGTTTATTCCTTTGCATTTTGACATGACAACAACCGAGAGCCCGCCGCCACGGCCGCCACCCGACAGAAGCAGCAAGAAGACGAAGCTCGGGTTCTACGCCGACCCGCGATCCCCCATTGCGTCTACACCCCTCAAACGTCCACGCACGACGCCGCTGAATGCGACCTCCGATGGAGCACATACTGATGTCGTCGAGAATGTCCCGTCCGCTTCATCACCAACGACAGAAGCGACGACGACGAGGCGGCTCGATATGAACGTAGAGGACGAGGAGGAAGAAAAGGAAGAAGTCAAATCTGCGGACGAAGGAGACTCCAATCGGACCACTGCATCGGACAAGCAGTACACCACCGCGGACGACGACGTGGATCTGTTTTCCCCGGCACTCAAAGTCGATGGTCGGATTAAGCAGAATCTCCACCCACATCATCCAATCCCCTCCACGACCACGACCGCTGTGGCAGAGCATGTCCCCGACAGCCTCGTCCCTGGCGAACCTGATGCAGAAACCCCTGCCACATCCGCATCACCCAAGGACGACGAGTCCATCGTTGAAGTCGACTTCAACCCGTACTTTCCTCTTTAGCCACGGCCATCATATACTTACCATCCCTTTAGGTTCTACTTTATGAAGACTTTGCCGCGGTACAGCGACTTGCACGAGCTAGTGCGGCCTGTGGCGCTCCCGCCCAAGACATCGACCGCGCACAAACTGTGTCTGGTAAAAACCAATTTACCTCATTCTCGTACCTTGTATATATATGTATATATATTTAAAAACTCCTCAACAGATAAATATATATATTTATATCTATCTATCTATGTAGGTGCTGGATTTAGACGAAACCCTCGTGCACTGCACCATCGACGACATTCCCCAAGCCGATTTGAAATTTCCGGTGCGTTCTGTTTCTAATGTATATTCTTATTATATATATATATATCGTCGTATCCGTGAAAAGCTATATATATATATATATATTTGAATATTGATTCAATACCATCGACGACATTCCCCAAGCCGATTTGAAATTTCCGATGCGTTCTGTTTCTCATGTATATTCTTATTATATATGTCTTGGTATCCGTGAAAAACAATTTATATATATATTTGAATATTGATTCAATCCAAACCTATCTTGTTGTCGAGTAGATCGAGTACGACAGCCACGAGTACACTGTATCTGTGAAACGGCGGCCGTTTATGATGGAATTCCTCTCCCAAGTGTCTGAATGGTTTGAAGTCGTCGTGTTCACGGCATCCCAGCGCGTCTATGCCGAAACGTTGCTCGACTTGGTGGATCCGTACCACCAGTTCATCTCGTAAGTCGTTTCTCGGGTCATTTCTCACGAACGAGTGCGATGTATGTACATATAGACATCGCCTGTACCGTGACCACTGTTTGCCCGTGGACGGCAACTACCTCAAGGACCTGAACGTGCTCGGCAGAGATTTGGCCCATGTGCTTTTGATTGATAACTCACCCCATGCGTTCGGGTACCAAGTGACCAACGGCGTGCCCATCGAGAGCTGGTTCACCGACGAAAGTGACTCGGAATTGCTCAAGTTGCTGCCGTTTCTCGAGTCGTTGCTTCACGTTGACGACGTGAGACCGATCCTTGCCAAGCAATTTCAGATCCAACGACTGATTGATGCCGCCGTCTTGGACGACCAATAAACAGGACCATGTGTCTCTGAGATACAGTATGCTGGTGGTATTTTCATTCGCGGTGAAATTCCATACCGCCAGTGGTACATGGTTATATGTACTTGCAAGTAGTAGTACGTACAGGAGTAGTACTTTGACAACTAGGATGAATCATTGGTGAATCGTCCATACAGTAGCTCACAAAAATACAACTACTAGGACACGTTTTTGCGGTTAATTTCGAAAAATATCTGTATATGTCGTGGAATCCCATTTAATTTCGTGGAAATTCATTATATTTCGCGACCTCGGCATTTAGTTTCATGGGAACGACGAATTCACTCATTGTATTTCGTGGACTGCCAGTATATTTTGTGATTTGCTCAGATATTCGCAAACAAACCAAAATAGTTGGCACGTTCACTTCAACGCGCTCTGATTGGCCAGAAAAAAGTGCGCGAAACGGATAAACGAAACTAGCCAAGTTCAAAATGGAGGTATAAGGTTCGTTTGATTTTAGATCTACTTATGGAGTAAACAACACTTGGAATGTTGGTTTTGGGTTTAAACTATTGAAGAAACCATGTTTATCAGAATTCAGCCCAAAATGCTACTTTAGGCCAGAATATTGTAATATATCAGAGCCCAGTCGGCCCCCAAAATTTGACTATTCTCACTGTCATATCGATTCTCGAATCAACTGCCAAGTCCAAATTTTAGAGAAATGGACAATCACGTTATCATATTATGCAAGCCTATACATGACGTTGGATGCGCCACATATTATTTGTATGGAACAGTAACCAGAAAACGACGATGTAGTTATATTTTGCGCACAGGGTAATTTAATACAATAGATTGGTCCAAATAGACTGCAGTAATCGGTTGAATCCACTTGGCCTTTCGCAAGTGCTTCAGCATCATCCCAAAGCACCCGCAAAGATATGCCCAAGGGGGCTCCCGAGGGTGTCGATCGCGTCGATCACTGAGAAGAACGAACGTGCCCAAGTAGTCCCGACTGCACCTACACCTAACACAGTAGTCTTGTCACCGCCGCCATTGGTGTATTGCCATGGGAGCTGAATTCGACACATATGCGCTGTCCCCTTGAGCAGTTGGGATGACGACCCCACAAAGGTCGTGCTCGGTCGTGGGGGTCGCCACCCCCGAAAACCGGCCGCCGTCGGCTCGCCTTATCTAGTGCCTTAGATCCATCTGTTGGTGGCGTTGGGTTTTAAGCTTGGGTGATTGAGATAGTCGAGAGTACACATTCTCGTAGTACAATCTCATGTCCAGATTGACCAAATCTTTTGGCTCAGTTGGGAGCGCGTCTACTTATAGATCACTTTACACCTGATCTAAGTATGACAAGAACACACCGATGGTCGCTGGTTCAGTCCCAGGTTTCCTTAGGTCCGTGGCATCGACACCAGGAAGCCTAGTTAGGGTCGAGTCAGAACCCTCCCCTTTCAACTGAGATGTAAATGGGGTTGGTAGTGGAGGCAGTGTCTCCACGTCTCCACTGGCACGTGGTGGTGTCAAGTTTCCATCACGACGACAGGTTACACTCGTGAATTGTGCCAGCATATTCATTTATATACATACTGTCGTCGGCCGTGGACTTTGTTCCTGGATTGTCCTCGATCTTGTCGTCACTCCTTCATTATCGAACCGGGAACGAAGTACTGTATGGCCATGTATCAACACCAAACCAAGCAAATATATAAGAGTATATCGAAGGAGAATCAAAATGTGAAATCAACACGGAATTAGTGTATGTAACATGAAGCTATGGAGTACTTATAGAAGTATAAAAAAAACTTGGAATTAATGTATATTGTTAAGAAATAATGTAAACGGACGAGCAATTCATACATAACGTTATAACGATCAGTAAAAAACCCAAATCCATAGATTTGCCCAATCTCGTTGTCCAAGTGCCAATTGATTTTTATTCTGGGTTTTGATTGGTCGATCGTGTGGTAGATTACTCAATCTCGATTTTTGAATGGAACTGAGACCATTTTGTGGTACATCCTACAAGTGGCGGCGGCGGCGATGCTTCTGTGGGGTCCGACACGGTAAAAGGAGGGAAGCTGGCTCTAATCGTACCGGTACGTGCGTGGGAATCTCATGTACAGCTCGGCGACAATATTTGAACGGTTCTTCACTCGAGGGGTCGTGATTAGTTGTACTTCTAACAGAAACGTTACCTTCCGGCCAAATCATAATCCATAATCACCCCAAATGCCCTACTTGATACAGTATTTGTATCGCATTCAATTTCCTTATTAACGTTAATAGTTGTATTTCTGACCAAAAACATGACTGTACACTACAGTTTCCATCCCAAAATCATCCGGTTTCGGAGACTTCCCAGGACGTTTGGATGATTTTCCTTTAAATAACCTTGGACACTCTATATTTCCTGAATTCACCTCGAGGATACCTCTTTCTTTCGATGATGGACCAGTCAAAGTCCAACATTTCAAATGTTTTTAAATATTGTACTGGCGGACGCACGACGTGAAACTTCAAGTATGTATACGTACGTACAGTACTTTGAAGTATACTTCGAAGTATAACACAGGGTGGGTTTAAAAAGTTGGTTACCCGCTAAATTGAATGGAATCGCTTACTATATTGGATGATGGCATCATTATTCAATTCCCCACATCGTCACCTTAACCATGCCTTCCACTTGTCGTACGTGTGTGCTTTTATTTTCGCACTAGGCTCAACTCCACCCTTCGTAGCTTCTTGCACACATGTCAGCCAAGACCCAAACGCCACATTTTGCTCCAAGTGTGGCAGCACTTTTAACGGCGCCGCGAACTTGAACAATGTTGTGGCTTCCCCCGTAGCTTCTGCTTATGCCGTGCCAGTGTCTCCGCTTCTGGTGGTACGACAGTCTATTGCAATCGATTGAAAAGCTGATTTCCTTCCTATGTAGGCCGCTCCAGGCCAAGTGCTCAAACCAGATGGCACCTGTGCCCATGTGAGCACCGACAGAGAAATGACATGCTTGGGGGTGTGCCTTGGTATATGCTTCTTCCCCCTTGGAGTGATTTGCTGCCTCGCGATGACCGAAAAGCGATGCAACCATTGCAAGCAAGAAGTGTACTAATATCGTACTACCAGCTAGCTGTATACCACGAGATGATTGGGTTCGATATTTTAAATACTAATCTAAACCTATTCAGATTACCCCCTTGTGTTTCTGAACGAGCTTTCTAAAAGTCAACAAAACCTATTAATCTACGTATAGTATTAATAATATAAGTATATACAGTGTACTACCGGTAGTAGGTGAGATGTGAGAGTGTGCAAAGAGAGTGTTCATGGTTGAAAACAAAACAAAAAACCATATCGTATTGTATTTTACCACGAATGATTTTTCGTACAGAGTACTTCGAAGTATTGAATTACACTCACTCTCATCCGTGTCAACAAGCCAGTAGTTGCGAATATCTTACGATGGCCATCACCTGCCGTAAGGCGCGCTGCTCGTCTCTCCATCATCTCTCATCTCATGCTCATGTAGCTTCCTGCACTTACGAGAGCCACGACGACAGCGCCACGTTTTGCTCCATGTGCGGAAACGCGTACAATGCCAATCTTGTAATTGTCACGCCCGTGGCTACCGTATACGAAGCACATCCGGTAGCGGCGTCGCCCGTCGCTGCCTCCCCTCTCCTTGTGGTATGTCGGCTGTCCCATCACGAGTAATGGCTGACTTTGGTTGGTTAGACTGCGACCGGCCAAGTCCTCAAACCCGACGGCACCTGCGCGCATGTTCGTGCCGACAGTGATTTTACGATCTGCGGGATCTGCTGCGGCATTTGCTTCTTCCCTGCTGGCATTATATGTTGCCTCCTCATGCAAGAGCGTCATTGCAGCCATTGCAGGGTCGTTTTGCCATAATCCGCTGACCTTGGTGCGATTCTCGAAACGGATTCGATTACCGTATTGTACATATAGTATTAACGGTTGCATTATTGCATGTTCGAGTAAGTCTTTCGCCAATTTGATTAACGGTTACCAGTACTTCCCAGTACTGGACCATTCTGTTTACTCTCGAGTACTACTTAATAAGTACTTAGTACTATTAATAGTATTAATTGTACGTAATACTACAGTATTAATACTGGTAGTGCTGTTAATAAAACTAGTGCGAGTACTATGTATTAATATACTTCGAAGTATTATTTACTAGTACAATTCTACAGTACTAGTATTATAATAACATGGTACTTCGAAATAGAGCATGCCCAATATTTTTTGATAATATTGATACTAATAGGTCAGACTACTGACGATACCGTACACAATATCTACCAGTTCACAATAACTAACCTGGGAGCAGAAGGCTTTAGAAAATCTAATTACAAGTGTTTATTGACTTGATATTTGTAAAAGCCATGATAACCTTTAACATATATACTCTATTTCGCATATTGTCAAAACATCAGAGTCCGCGGCCTTTCTCGAGGTACTCCTATCCTTGAGTTATTGTGTACGGTTCGGTAGTACTGTACTAGTACCTTACTAGTAGTACTACTGTTGTTCCACGATACTGTCGGATAAGAGCCCCAATGTCCGGATACGAAAAAAGGTGACGGCGTCGTGGACAAACATTCGGCAACGATGTTTATCCTGGTGACCTGCGAACTGACCACGAGCACAGGTAAGTAGTTAAGGACGCACATGATCATGGAGGCATCAAAGTATGGTGACAAGGTCCTACGGTCGTGGGAGACGCGACTTCCGACGTGGTGCTGATGGAGTCCTTGGGGGCCTCCTTGGTGCAAGGCAAATGCCAATCCTACCGGTGCGTCCTTGTTTGCAAATGCGTTGACGACGAAATGCATGAAGCGCTGACGGCTAAATGCATGACGCGATAGACACTATGTGACCCCTTGGGCACCCCGTTTGGTGCTGGATGAGCTCAACCGACAAGGCTTCGAATTCAAAGGCATGAGCGGCATCGGTCAGACGTTGGTGTGGACGTTTTGCCGGCCGTAACCAGAGGAGCTACCCGTTACCAGCCCTAGCTGGCGTGAATCATGTCGTTAAGGGCAGCTCAGTCCATTCATTCGATACACCTTTTTTCTCGTTGGCGCTACTATTATACGTATACTACTCGTTAATGGAAACTCATTGTTAATACAGGTACATATACTATACTTGAGTCTTAAAATAACATAATCATTAAGTAATGTATAGAATTACGACATGAGAGGTACCATTTATTAAAACTATTGAGAAATTCTAACTATAATAATATTCTACTAGTACATTATTATAATATTACGTTTGTGTTCATGAATCGTTGCTTGCGTACGTAGAGTTTCTCAGTTTGGCCTTCAGGATTCTGCATGCAGAATGGTTGATGACGAACAGATTGTAAAAAACTGCATCAAAATCGGCTCACTGGAAAATTTCTTTGCATTCTAACTTACGGAATGCGGTGCAATGACCCAGAGAATATTAACGAGAGGATCATATGCTATCGGACCAAATCCACAGCCGTTATAATTGTTGTCGTAAGCTCCACACAATCAATAACCCTCACTATCCACGCTTCACACTACCAGCTGGTCCTGCCCCTACCATAGTACTACTGTATGAGTAGAGGGAGGTGACATTTTGTTCATTTTATCGGCGTCCTATCACCCTGACAGTGTGTGACTACTATTAGTAGTACTACAGTATATACATATACATGTATACCGTATTACACTTGTAGCACTGCGCTTGTCAGTTTACTAATACGGGTAGTACTATACTACGGAGTAGTTACTGTGATTGAATGACCAACAGGTGTCTCCTGCCGAAATCCATTACTACATAGTAGTACTAGTAGTATACAAGTTAGTTGAACACTGTGGAAAGGCAATACTTCGAAGTACATTTTCATCCTTCCTCGTGGCAGTGTCGTCCCTTAAGCGAACTCCAGTACACGCATCTTCCTGGCAGATAGAAATGAATTATACATAGTAATGACCTCGCTCAAATTGAGTCGACTGAACACAGCACTTTTATGAATGGTTGAGGGTATTTACTGTTAATATAACTCCTGGTAAAGGTCGTATCCATTTCGGCTCTACGCTGCAACCATTTGTGTGGTCAGGCACCACATGGGGTAGTCGAGGATTTCCTTCATCCATATATTGCACCACTATAGAGTACTACGTAGTATAATCCTAACGTACTATTTTACTAGTACGTTAATCCTAGTAATAGTGAGTAACAATAATACCATTAACTATTATTAATAATAGTAGTCCTACTAACGTTACTGTAATAGTAAAAAAATACTAGTACATACACGAAGTACAGTTGCTACGTCTTGTGTATTAGTTGAGTACAGAATGAAGCACGTTGGCATCCGTTCGCATCTTATGAATACAATAATATACTAAGTACTAGTAGGACGTACTACTCCGGAGTACTATCGAAGAAGCTTCACATGTCAACCAGTTTTTCAATACCGTAGCACTATTGTGCTTTAGCACCTTTTTTGGCAATTCCAGGGTCAAATTCATTGTTTAATAATTTCTCAAATTTAAATACCGTCTAATACTATTCATACTAGTCAAGTATCAAAGTACTACTTCTACCCCAAAGGAATTCCTCGTCCCACCCCGTGTGGGTAAACAACAATCGCAGGCCAAATGTCTCTCTCTCTCCCCCTAGCATTAGGCCGACAAAAACCAGCATGCCTTCAGTGTGCAAATGTGGACGTGGGTGGCTGACTACTGGTGTATCAACGTGCCACTCAAGTCGGTGGAGGAGCTGGACGCCGAGACCTGGTTGGTGTTGTGTCCGCGCTTCGGCGGAACGTACGCCACGTGGACCGTCCTCCGCTTCAGTCGATGGCACGTTGCGGTGTTGTCGTGGCTGAGTTTCTTCATGCTCGGCTCCATCTACTCGTTCCAGATCTTGGCGCCGCCGTTGGAGCGGTACTTTGCTCCGTACACGGGCTTGTCTGGGTTTTACGGGTCAACGCTTGTGTTGGGCGTCGTGGCTGCCATCGTGGGGCCGTTTGTCGAGCGGCGCGGTCCTCGCACCGGTATGCTGCTTGGCTCGGTCCTCGTCGTGGGTGGACTGGCCCTGTCGCACATTGCGGTCGTAGCTCGGAATCAATCGCTCTTCACGTGGTCGTACGTGGCCTAACCGGTGTTCTTGTATCAAGGATGTGATGCTCTCTTGTTATAGGTACAGCGCCCTTGTGGGCGGAGGCTACGGCGTGGTGCTATTAACGGCCATGTCGACGCTGCAGAAATGGTTTCCCGATCTGCGGGGCTTCGTATCTGGACTCGCGATTGTGAGCTTGGGGGTGGGCACGGGCCTCTGGACAAAGTTGTCGGCTACACTCATGCATCGATCGACCAACATTCTTGACAGCGTCAGCAATATCGACGACGAAATCGGGTTAACGAGAGTGTTTCTTGTGCAAGGTACAGTTTTCCCGACAGAATGAATGTATAGTATCCAATAGTTGCTGTCGAATTCCATGGATGAAGAGATGCACACTACTTTGAAGTGCACATTCAACAATGATGTATGTTTACATACTGTAGTAATAACTATTAGTATGGCACTTTGCACTGCAATACTAGCAATGTCGAATTACAGAGTGTTTGTCCTTGAAGTCCAATACTGTTTGTGGAATGATGAGTTGGATATCTTCATTATTTCTGTACCGTACAGTGTACTTACTGCAACGACCGTGCCATGTGACTGTGTAGCCATCACGGCACTGCTGCTGTTCATCGTTGCCACCATGGTGATGCGGACGCCGCCGGCTAACTTTTCTGTCGGCGGGCACGACATCCACTGCGTGCCCGTACACACTTCATCCGGCCAACGCATGCAACACCAGCACCTCCAGGATGAATACTTCAAGGTCGGCATGACGTTGGTCAACTACTCTGACCACAACACCAACACGAACACCGACAGCAACACGGACAACGTCTACTTTGAGCACGT